GCCATCCTGAACTAAGACAAAAATGTGTGAGCCAGAGGCTAAAAAACTGTGAGCTAGCTCACACAGCTTAGAGGGAGCACTAGTCTATACCTGCTTAGCTCTGCAACATTATTCTGTCATGTTCCTTTAGACAGTACCCTGGTACATTGTTCTTAACCAAATAAATTCAAAGGCCTTTTCAAATGTAAAAATTGAAATCTGTTCTCGTGATAATTTAAATGGCAAAGCTCAGCACTTAGTATTCTAATAAACACCGTACTTGTGTGCCTGGAGGCTTCTTCAGAGAGTGCTAACACTCGTTAAAACAATGCTGAATCGAGATTTGCCATGAATGGCTTATTTCATCGTAGCTGATGAACCCCAATGAATAGAGAAACAAAGCGTCTTTAGTATAGAATCTGTATTCTTGACATCAGAGAAAAGTGACAGAGCTTCAAAGTCCTTTTGGATCCATCACTACTTGGGTGAACAATGTGCAGACGGATTCTGAGGTCACAGTGTGTGGAGCAAAGCACTTTCTGTCAGCTTGTGTGGGAATTACTGGGAAATAATACATATTGATGCCTAAAATGAGCTATAGGAGGACTTAATGGTTTTAATTTACACCAACCTGCAGTGAAACATCTAGGGTAGCCTCCAAAATAGTGGTAATCAACTAGAGCTTTATTGTGAAAGTTTGAAGAGCAGATACAGGGGAAAAAATGAGGTTACTGTATCTGGTATCTTTGCTGATCTGTCTCCATATGCCTAAGTGATTTTGCCTCTAAGACTCCAGGGAAGAGCAGCACTTGGATCCTTCTTGTTTGGCTTTTAGCACATTTCAGACCTCTCATCCTGAGAAAAGGAGCTAAAACATCCAGTCAGCAACGGGGACTAATACTGGGAATGGGGAGGGGGAATATACTTTGCTTGTTTTATTGTAACCTGCTTTGAGCAACAAGAAAAAAGTATAGAAATATAAAAAGTGAAATAGGTTCCATATTTCACTTTCCATTTTCCTATACTGTAGTAACCAACTTTCTAAAGATTACGTCATGAAACACAACTTTCAAAATAGCTCTGCATTTCCTCTTCCAGCTTGTTGGATTCAAGTGCCAAAAAGTGGCACATAGCTGTTAGAGGCTATCACTTTGTTATACTTTCCATATGGCTGGGCTGTACTATTTCAGATTGCAAATGTTCATTAGAATCAAATAAATATTATAAGATTATTCCAGTGTTGTGTTTTTTTCCTGGTGTGTGTGAATAGAAACAAGCACTTTTTTGCCATCAAGTCAAGCTGACTTCTGGGGACCCCTAGTGGGGCTTGGAGGCAAAGGACGTTCAGAGGTGGCTTGCCATCACCTGCCTCTGCGTCATTACCCTGGTATTCCTTGGTCTCCCACCCAAATACTAGCCAGGGCTGGGCATACTTAGCTTCTGAGATCTGACAAGATCGGGCTTGCCTGGGCTATGGGCTAAGAGGTACTTTGACTTAAAGACTCAAGCCACGACTAAGTATTCTTCCATACAAAAATGACATATCAAGGAGAAGTATTCTACTTTAGTCTTCTTCGTTCAGTCGTATTAGTTCACACCTGCGGTCAGTGGTTATAGTCCAGGCATGGGTTTACAGCCAAAGTGAGACTGTCACCAGCCCAACCTAATTTAATTATGAGCTAGAAGATGGCTTCTGAATTCATACTGCTGTTAATCTCGGGAAAAGAACAGCCATGCAAGGGAGAAGAAGGAAAATTAAAGAAATACGTTCCACAAGAGATCTATACTGTGTGCACAACCAAGAATAATTTAATTTTTGGACATGTTGTAAATAGCCAGTTAATTCGGCAGTACTTGTTAGCTTATTATTAATGTCAAAATGTTTAGAATAATTTCTACACTGAAGCAGCCGAGGTGTGCTATTCAAAAATGAATCTGTTTTTAGCTTTCAGTGTTTTTGCAGTGGGTTATTTTGTGACCTCTAGTGGTGACATGGAGGAAATGCTGAATTATTACTTTCTGTTTGTATGCCCATTTTTAAATATATTTGACCTGCTAGGAAATGTATGAAGAACTATATGCTAGGGTTACCATTATTTTAATAAGCAAAAAAGGGACATATTTCCCAACTGACTACTTCAAACAAGTGATCACTATGTCAAATCTCATTTTAAGCACCCCTAATAGTTAAGCTGTGATAATTGCTGCTAACTAGGAATATTCCTAACCTTCTGACCCAAAAAGGACTTTTTCATCAGTTTTTTAAAAAGATCCCCAAGGAGGATGGACACCAAAAAAAGCGGATGTCCTCTAAAAAGAGGACATCTGGTAACCCTACTATATGCTAATACTGAGAAGTAAGGAATAAAGTAGTTTGAAAAGATGTGGAGTTTTGTTGGATTGATGAACAACTGAATCCATGTATCTAATTAGCTTAGCTTTTTTCTTGTTGTTTTAAGGAACTGCTTTAAAAACACACATACAAGACTGAGGGCTTTTGTCACATTCTAATGGCCATATTGAACCTGATCCATTTTGACACATCACATTTAATAGCCTTTGGATTACACAGACAATCTTCACTACTGTGTTCACAGACCTCTACAGTATTTCCACCTAGCAGTCAATAGAGCATGCTGGATCTTAAAGACAACCAATCACAGTATTTGATTACAGTATAAAAATATGACACATTGTTAGTATCATTTGTAATAACTTAAGGGTACATTATTTGCTCAAGGATTGCTTGGAATATTGCCATGCTAAAATAGCAATTGTAAGTTCCATACATAAAAATATAGGCTTGGTGCCTTTCATATGTTTAGAAGGCACAAGAAAGGGGACCCGCAAAACTCGGTGGGATGGGGCAGGAAGCTCCACGCAGAGCAGGCGGAGGAGGAAGCAGCAGCAGCAGGTAAACTTCCCCCTCCCATCCCGCCGATTCCCCCCCCACGTCTCCTCAACCCCCTCTCTACCACCACCATCCCTGCTCAGGAGGCAAGGCCCGAGCAGCTTGCAGCCTCGCCGATCTCCCCCCGGCTCTGAAGCGAGGCCCGAGCGGCTTATAGCCACCGGGCCTCGCCGGTCTCCCCCCCAGCTCCGAAGCGATACTCGCGGGGGGAGTATTCCAGCCCGCCAAGCGTCACCCTCCCTCCCCAGCAGCAGCGGCGAGGCCGGCCCACCAAACTTCCCCCTCCCTCCCGAGTAGCAGCAGCCGGGCCTCGCCAGTCTCCCGGCGGCGGTGAGGCAGTTTGCAGAGCGTCCCCTGCGCATGCGCAGGGAAGGCTCTTTTACTTTGGGGGGGATTTAAATATCCCCTCGATATTTTTTTCACTTTTTTAGATTTTTGTGCACACCTGGGGACGGCCCCAAGTGTGTAGGAAAATCTCCCTGCCCCCCAGGTGCCCCCGATGTGCAGATTTAGATATCCACACGCAGGGGGCGCCTTCGCTATTAGATATATAGATATCAAAATTTAGTTTGGTATAAGGGTTTTGGTTTGGATTCTTGCTGTTGACTGTGGTTTCTATTTATGGTGATACTAGGAGTAAGGCATGTTGTGGGAAGAAAGGCTCCAGGTGAGTGTCCCAACTGTGGCTGGTGGGGCGGCAGAGGGAAGGGGGAAAAAAGGGAGGCAAGCAATGCTCCCTCTAAGCTGTGGAATCTTGTGAACAAAAATTCTACTTTGTGAGCTACTGGCATTAAAGTTGTGAGCCAGCGATTGGGCTACTGCATTAATTAGTTTGGTCTGGAGCCATTCTTCCTGAGCTAAGACAAAAATGTGTGAGCTGGAGGCTAAAAAACTGTGAGCCAGCTCACACTAACTCAGCTTAGAGGGAACACTGGAGGCAAGTGATGTTTATTTCCTTCTGCTTAACTATAAGGCAGGGCTGTCTCAAGCCATTTTGCTGCCCCAAGTGGGTAGTATGGGAGGAGAGCTGCATGCCATGTTTTCTGGGTTTCAAGGGTCTGGAAAGCAGTTCCGTAGCCAGTTACCAGGTTGCCAGCGCTGGGTTGGGAAATACCTGTATATTTGAGGTGTAGAGCCTGGGGAGGACAGGTGGGGAGGGACTTCAGCAGGGTAGAATGCTATAGAGTCCACTGCCTAAAGCAGCCATTTTCTCCTGGATAATGGATCTTGGAAATCTCCAGGTGCCCCTTGGAGGTTGGTCAAACTAAGGTTTGTTGAAGGACTTCAGTGAGGTATAATGCCATAGAGCTCACCCTCCAAAGCAACCATTTTCTCCATGGGGACTGATCTCTGAAGTCTGGAGCTCAATTGTAATTCAGAGAAATGTCCAGACCTTCCCTTTCCCCACAACCCCTTTCAATTCCAAAGCTGCTTCCTGTTTAACACTTTAACTGATTAACAGTTTGACTGACTCCCTGCTAATGTCCCACGTCTGCTTGGGACTCCCAACTTGGGAGTTGTAGTTCTAATTCCCTTTGCTATGGTTGCAGTAAGGCCAGCTGAGAACTACAACTCCCAAAGTGCAATGCGTCAAAAGTGGGGGTGTAAGAATGGAGGAGCCAGCAGGACGGGCCAATAGGACACCAAGGCAGCTTCTCCAGTGGCCAATGGGAGAGTAGGCGTGTCATTGCTGGCATGGCTTGCCTTTTGTATATATATCATACATACATACTCTGGTCATTTTTTATGTCTGTTTATGAGCTATTTTTGAGATCCTCGTTTATATTTAATAAAAAGTGGGTTTGTTTTTTTACTTGAAGTGTTAAAGGGGACCAAAGGGGACATGCATCATGATAATTATTCCGTTTGTAACATAACAGAATGTGAGCAAATAGAAAAAAGTGATTTCTATTGGGGGAATATAACTTATGTATACTATTTTGTGTGTGTGCAGACCATTGTCTGTGTGTGTATGTGCAAAATCAGTTGATTCTGTTACCTCAAAGATAATTTGATTACTCTTGGTATCACAATGGTTGACTAACTGGTACCTTCTATGCTTTTTTGTGGTTAAATATTCACCTTTCTTGTTTCCTGTGTTTTCTTGCAGGTACAGGGGAAAGCGGAAAAAGTACATTTATTAAACAAATGAGGATAATTCATGGGTCTGGCTATACAGAAGATGACCGAAAGGGCTTTGCAAAATTGGTTTATCAAAACATATTTACTGCTATGCAAACTATGATCCGAGCCATGGACACTTTAAATATACAATATTCATCAGAGCAGAACAAGGTAGGATTTTTCCCCCAATCATACCCTGATTTCTTCTCATTGGTATTTATTCATTGGTAAGTCAGGAAATATAATAGGAAAGCAAACTGTAGCACTAGAACTACAAAAACAGGGCTGTGGCAACACTGGTCAGCCATAGCTCTATAGTAGAAGTACTTCCATATCGTATTTATCATATCAAGGGAGAGCTCTTTTTTAAAATTAATAGTTGTAACATAATTTAAATCCCTGAACCCACTACAGAAATAATACTGTCCCTGTTAAGAGATTAGAGTTGTGGTCAGGGAGATTTGTGTGCCCTGTGCATGCATCAGTGGCCCACTCCCAGTTTGCACTAGGTCTGTTCTAAGAGTAGCTGGAATGTAAGGAAGAAAACCCTCTTTTCACCCTCTCTTGCTTCTGTGCTTAAAGGAGCTCCTGGTTTAGGTTTTAGACCCATTTTAAAGGAGTACCCCTGTGACACAAACTCTGGCCAGTGACACTCAAACAGGGGTCTACTGGAAGAAATGAAAAAGCCCCTGGACAAGAGCTGAAAATCTGGAAGGGATAATTGGCAAATACTATAAATTGGTCTGGAGAATCAGTAAATACAGAAGTCGGAATAATATCAAGCATACAGCAATAATATCCAATACCAAAATATTTGTGTTAAGAGCCAAATATTCCAGTCAAACCACATGCACACACATACACTGTGCAATATGTTCCACTCAAGAAAGGAGAGGCAAGAGGCCAAAAGTGTGCTGAAAGAAGATAATGGAGGAGCCACAGCAACCTGTGAAGGTTCCAGGCAGAGGTCCTGTTCCCAAGAAAGGAGTCTGAACTTCTGGGTAAGCAGATAATCCAAAAGTAAGCCTAAAGAGAAATGGTAAAGGAGAACCTTATGATATGTGCAAGGAGAAGGATTTTTCTACTCAGATTAGTCTTGAGAAGGCAGAAGCTTGATTTGGGGGCAGAATCATGGTGTGGAGCCTTGTGCTAACAAGCTTTGAAAGAGGAAGGGGGCAAGGTGAGCTGAGAACTGTGCTTCCAGATTGGCTGAAAGTTAGGAGAGAAGGTTCAGGGTCCTGGGAATCAGTGGAAACGGAACTAGAGCGGTAGTTTCAGCGAGATGTTTCAGCTGGCAGTCTTTATCTGACTGAGTTGGGTTTAGGAAAGAATTTCGAAGTCCAAATTAGTTCCATCTGAATGAGAAACTTCTAGTGGGGAAGGCTAATGTGGGCCGATGTGGCCAAGTGTCCTGATTTACAGTCTGATAGACTGTCTGGAGCAGGCCCGTAGCCTGCGTGGGGCCCTCGTCCCCGCACGTGTTTTGCGGGCCCCCTCCCCCGATCCTCTGCTCCCCCTCCCCCCAGCTCCCTCCCCCCTCCTCGGGGACAGACCAGGCTGAAACCGAGCCTGGCCGAAGGTGCTAACGTCCGCTCTGCAACCTGCTGGCTTCGGCCGCCCGACCTGGGCACAACAAAACTGCCAGCCGCAGGGAAGCCAGCCAGGGAAGGCAGCGCAGGGCGGCAGTGGAGTCTGTGCTGAGTTATGGAGCTTTTATTGTATACATCACCTGGCTGGATGACCTTGGACAAGTTCTGATAAGAGCTGTTCTTGAAAAAGAGCAGTTTCAAGAGCTCTCTCAGCCCCACCTACCTCACAGGGTGTCTGTTGTGGGGAGGGGAAGGGAAAGGAGTTTGTAAGCCGCTCTGAGACACCCTTTGGGTAGTGAAGGGTAGGGTATAAATCCAATCTCTCTCTTCTCTTCTCCTTCTTTCCTTCCACTGGCTGAGGCTCCTTCCTGAAGGGAGGGAGGGAATGAGGGAGAGCTTGCTTTGCTGGGCTGCCTCAGTTCCACAGGAGAAATACCAAGCACTTTTAAGACCAACAAAGTTTTGTTCAAGGTATGAACTTTTGTGTGCCTTGCTGCAGTGTGTGTGTATTCTGTTGGGCTCCTTATGCCACGGCTCTCCTGGGTGCAACTGGGTTTTCTCCCCCTTTTCACTGTATTCATGCCCTCATGATCCAGTCTTTCTCAGTAAGAAAGCAATGTGAACTATTTTAGAGGAGTAACAACAAGCCAGTGAGGTGGATTAGGCTGAAAGTGTGTGTCCAGACCATGTTCACACAGCACATTTCCTTTGAAGGAAGTTGTAGTTATTTCTCTGGGGAAGACTATAGTTCTGTAGACAAACAAATGGCCCTCAGTCTGTGTTAGGACGCCTTCTCATGTTCTTTTTAATTTTTTAAAATTATTTTCTTAGGAAAAAAAGGTGGGATACAGAAGGGAAAAGGGGGTGGGGGGAATATAAATTCATCAGTTTTGTATTACATATTTCAAATATAGAAGCAGACATTTAAGAATAAGAACTTTCCTTTCTTGACCAGCACATGAAGTAACTTATGTACAAGAGAGACTTTTAATAGAGGAAAATCAGCAGATCTCTAGACAAATAGCAAAATTCTGCTTGCAACTGGTAAAATTTCACAATAAGAAGCAGATCAAGTATAATCGTCATTTACATTTGCATGACACATAAGTGGTTTAGTTTTAAACATCTTATAATTACTTTGATATAATGGACTGTTAAACTTTTCTCCTTTTAACATTTTAATGATTTTAAGGTTATATGTTTATTTTTAGAGCTGAAAGCTAATTTGCTTGTATTTAACGGACATGTAATATTTTGATAAAAGGTCTTTGACCGCAAATAAACATCATTCATTCAGAACTTATGTACAAAAGTTTGCAATGCCCAGCCATTTCATGTTTTCCCCTGGGTCCTAGGCTAGGAACACTGAGCATAAGATTTCTGTAATGAATGTCAATAAACCAAAAGTAGGTTTGCACCTTACAGATACACACCTGAACAGCATACTCAAGGTTGCTACAGCATGGACATTTTGATGCAGTAATTCAGAGCAGAGGTGTCTGTTATCAGAGACTGTAAAATAGACAAAATATTGCAAAAGTGGTAGTGTTTTAAGAATGTTTTATTTCAAAATTTTTAAAATCTTTGTTTGTCTGTGTCCTTTATAAAGTTTATATCTCCGCTACCTGGCATTACATTGCATGACACATATGGCCTGGCCCAACAAGGTCTCATGTATGTCAGATCCAGCACTCATAACAAATGAGTTCGATACCTCTGATATAAATAGCTACCTCCTGCTGTACAGCAGAACATCATTCTAAGATTTGATAGAATGAAAAATATGCTTTTAGGTACTCATTCAGCAGATGCAGGGTGCTCCCCCTCCATGTGCAATCCCCTGGAGGCTCTCCCAGTCATGCACGAGCCCGGTGAAATTGTTAGAAGGAAAACACCTCTCTGAACCAGAGAGACTAACTCAACACAACAACTTTAACCAACAAACAGATACCATAACCCACAGAATGCTAGACTAGCGAGTCGCGACTATCTAAGAATAGAAACTGGGGACATAGGATACGAAACACCCTGTCTCAGCATTCTCTTAAGTTACTCAGCAAAACTCCAAGTCTTCCAACATTCCCTGCAAACGTGTGAAGCGACAAAAAACCACCACAACTGGGTGGGCCGGACTGTCCCACTCCTGAACCACTGAGAAAGGAAGCTTCAAGGTAAGTGAAAAAAACCTTCCCTTCTCCAGTGGTTCAGCTAGAGGAACAGTCCGTACAGATGGGACATGTAAAAGCAGCTTGCCCCAAGGGCGGGAGAAGCTTCCCCGTTTACAGGGCATGTTGTAAGACCCTACGACCAAAAGGCACTTCTGCTGAGGCCAGCTGTCTGTCCTCTGTAAAACTGAGTTCACCTTTGGTATGAAGGCAGGATCTAAATGAAGAACCACCTTATCTTTATGGAATACACAGAGATCCCTATTGACTGAAAGGGCTCTGATCTCTGACACCCTGCGCGCCGAGGTGATGCTCACCAAAAAACAAGGTTTTGTACATCAGTTCCAGTTTTGAACATGAGGCCATAGATTCAAACGGCACCTTGCACAATGCCCACAACACTGTATTTAAATTCCAGGTAGGAAAATGATGTATCTGTGGATGATTGAGTAGGGAAACCCCTCTCAGAAACCTTTTCACATGAGGATGATGAAAGAATGACCTACCATGTCTAATCCCCTAGATACCTGAGATGGCCGAAGCCTGCCTCCTTCCATAGGTTCAAACGGCGCCTTGCACAATGCCCGCAACCCTGTATTTAAATTCCAGGTAGGAAAACGATGTATCTGTGGAGGATTGAGTAAGGAAGCCCCTTTCAGAAACCTTTTCACGTGAGGATGATGGAGTGACCTCCCATGTCTAACCCCCTGGACAGCTGAGATGGCCAAAGCCTGCCTCCTTAAGGTCCTAGTGCTGAGGCCTTTATCTAAACCATCCTGCAAAAAACGCAGAACGGGACCTACTGTAGCCCTAAGAGGATCTACCTTGTTCTCCACACACCAAGAGTGAAACACTTGCCAGGTGGCATTGTAAACCCTGTTAGTGGATTTCTTTCTGGATGCTAGCATGGTGGAAACAACCTTGTCAGGGTACCCCACTCCCACTAGCACCTCCCACTCAACCTCCACGCTGTGAGTCTGAACATGTCTGGACATGGATGCCTTGTTATGCCTTGTACTAACAAGTCTGCCCAATTGGGAAGTTTCTGTGGTTCTTGTATTGATAGGTTTTTTAGTTCTGGGAACCACAGCCTTCATGGCCAAAAGGGAGCTATAAGGACCACTTCCGCCTTTTGTTGACGTACTTTTTGGATCACCCTGTGTAGAATTTGAATGGGTGGGAATGCATACAGAAGACGTTGTGACCATTCACAGTTTAGAGCGTCTGTTCCTCTGGCTTGGTCATTCGCAACCTGGAGAAGAATTCTGGAACCTGACGGTTCAACTCCATTGCAAAACTGTGTTTTGTTGACGTACTTTTTGGATCACCCTGTGTAGAATTTGAATGGGTGGGAATACATATAGAAGACCTTGCGGCCATTGGCAGTTTAGAGCGTCTGTTCCTCTGGTTTGGTCGT